TGGCTGGAAGTTTCCCTGGCGTGCCAAATGAAGCGGTGCGCGGCACGGCACGGCGCGGCACCGGTCACGCGCCGCACCTGCGCTGCACTCTTTATTAGCTGCTAAACTGACGGGCAGCCTTGATTGACTGTGTAAACTCTGTTAACGACGTCGCGTGGTAAACGAGACACGCTGACAAGCTGCGACGACTGTCTTGTCATGGCGTGACGGCCGGCCGGATGGATCGGCGGCGCGGCACGGCACGGCGACGCGGTGCAGCACGGCAGGTGCATCGACAAGCAGCAGCGCGACAAAGCGGGAGACCGGGAGAGCAACTCTCCGCTCCGCTCCGCCGCTACGCCGGGAATGGAATGGAGGCGCGGAATGCACTCGCTCTCCGCCGCCCTCCACCTGCAGACTGATTCCGAGAGTCGTTTTTGTCGCTCTGTCTCTCTCGCACCCACAGGGGACGCCCCATGAGTGCGAGAGAGACGGAGCGACGAAAACGACTGACTCTCGGAATGAGTCTGGTGCACTGCTCTCCGTCGTTCGCATTGACGGCGGCTGTCGGCAGGTGTCGCCCAGAGTGACTGCGCGGACGGGGCGACGCGCCGACGGGCCGATGACTGATGGTGTGGACCAGCTTCGAGGCGGCCCGGATCGCGAGCGCGCGCGTGTTCGCGGCCCGCGGCGCTGCGTCGCTCTGTCTCTCTCGCACTCGCGGTGCGTGCCGTCGGCGTGCGAGAGGGACAGAGCGACGTTGAAGCGCGCTGTTCGCCGGGCTGACGACGGCTGCTACTGCAGACTGATTCCGAGAGTCGTTCTCGTCGCTCTGTCTCCCTCGCACTCATGCGGCGTCCCCTACTAGTGCGAGAGAGACAGAGCGACGAAGACGACGAGTCTGCTGCCTCCGCCGCGGCCACGCGCCGCGCGCCGCCACGACGGGGAGATTGATGGCGAGATGCCGGGGCGTGCCGAGCCGCTCTCTTTCTGTTGCCAGTGTGTCTGTGAGTGAGAGAGAGAGCGCGCGCTTAAGTGTGGAACAGTGTCCGGGCGGGGCGGGGCGGGCGGAGGAAATTGGCAAATGGTGCGTGTTTTGCTGCTGACGATGATGGGCAGGGAGGCGCGCAGCAGACCGATTCCGAGAGTCGCCTCGTCGCGCTGTCTCTCTCGCAGCAACACGGAGTGCCTCACGAGTGCGAGAGCGACGAAAACGAAAACGACTCCCGGAATCGGTGTGCTGCGGCAGCGCGCGGGAAGCGGTCGGGCGGACGCGGGCGTCGCGTCGCGTCGCGCTGCGGCGTCGGCAGCCAGCGGGGCGGCCGCGCCGTCACTTCGCCAGTTTCCTTTCGCGCGGCGCTTTTTCCTTTCCGCCAATCGCCGGCCGCCCTTTCCCCGGACAAAGCCTCGAACCCGCTTCATTTTGCGCGGCGTGACGTCAGCGCGTCGCTTTTCCGCCTCGCCTTGGGGAGCGCGGGGTGCGCGGCGGGGATCGGGATCGCCTTCTCCGGGGCGGTGGGGCGTGGCGGGGCGTGGCGGGGCGTGGGCAGTGCGTGGGCGGGGGGTGTTGTGTTGTGGGCTCCGCGGGAGCAACAACACTTTTATAGTGGCGTGGGCGTGCTCCGTGCTCGACGCGACGGTGACCTCCCCGGACGCGCCCACCTGTCGTCTCCTCGGCGTTTGTGGGGCGCGTCGCGGGGCGCGCTGTGTCCACCCCTCGCCCTCCCCTTTTTCTCACACACACACTCACACACGCAAACACGCGCGCGCGCGTCCGTCAAACACAGTTGTCCTGCTGGACTGAGGGGTGTTCCCTGAGGTCATATGACCTTAGTGGTTTCCTCCCTCCCTCCCTCCTTGCGACCGACCCCAATCTGGTCCACGACCAACCTTTCCGCCATGCTACTTTTCGTTAGGTCGCGCACATTTTCCTTGTTGAGAGTGTGTACGTATTTGCGTTGCCAGGGGTACGCCGGTCGCCGTGGCGCTGGTCGTGCCTTGCACGTGTGTGTGTGTGTGTGGTGTATGTGTGTGTGAGTGTGCCTGTGTGTGTGTGGTGTGTGTACTTAGTGCGTGCGTGGGCGGGTCGCTATCATCTGGGTTGTGCTTCCCCCGGTCGGTCCCTTGCCTTGCCCCCATCCCTCGCCCTCGCTCTGTCTCTCTCGCACTCATGGGGGAAGGGGCGAGAGAGAGGAGAGCACTGTTCGGAACCGACCCACTGTCCATCCCTTCTTCAAACATGATAAGACGGACGCAATCGCCCGGCTGGCCGGCGGGGCTGGCGGGGCTGGCAGGCAGCAGGGCCCCGTAAACAGGCGCACTGGACAGGGCCTTGGCGCCTTGGCAGGGCTCAGCCTTGCGGGGAGTACCGAGACAAGGACAAGGCGCCCCCGAGGACTCGGCCGGCCGGCCGGCGGGCTCCAGAGCCCTCCAGGGCCCTGTCCTGTCCGCCCGCGCGCCTCGGCGTCACGCCCCCCGCCCACACGCGGGGTATCTCGGTCATGGGGCTGCCTGCCTGGCTGCCTGCCTGCCTGTGATGAAGGTCGGCCTCGTCCAGCGGCCGGCGGGGTGGCTGCGCGCCCCCGGCGCCCCCGCACACACCATGACGGCGTGCTCGACTTGCTCGACGTGCTCCACCCGCCGCGGCTCGCCGAAGCGCGTCCACGTCTAGCGGCGTTGTTACGTGCCTCGGCCGCGCTGGCGCGAATAACCCGGCGAGGGTATGACGGCGTCCCCGCGTCCGCGCCGCCACAGGCACGCCGCCGACGACACAGCCCGCGCCGCGCCGTCCCGGCCGTCCCCTGCATTGTGGCGGTGTACACTGGCGGGGACTGGGGACGACTCGCTTCATGAAGCATGGACTCGTAAAGGCCGCTTTTTTGTGCCCGTGTGACTGCTCTGGCTGCTCTGGGCCGCGCAGTAAAGTTAAATCGAGTTGACGGCGGCCAGGGCGCCCTCCACTTTGAATCGGGCTGGCTCATTGCGGGGGGCGGGGCGCCCCGGGCCGTGCGTGCCGTGCGTGCCCCGCGCCCCGCGGACGGCGCCGAAGGCTGAGAGTGGCGCCGCGACGCCGCCGCGACGCCGCGCCCTTGATCCAGTGCATGGCTGTGCCGTGCCCCTCACGCCCCTCATGCCCATGTGGCCGCACGGCGCCGCGCGGCCAACGCGCAGCTCGCCCCGGCACATCTGTCAACTGCGGACTATTTCCATCCCTGCCATAGGCTGCTGCTGGTGCGGCTCCGTGGCCCTCTGGCGCTGCGGGCCTGCAGGCTGACGCCGAATAGTGCTCTCGTCGCTCTGTCCCTCTCGCACTCTCGACAGAGAGTTCGGAATAGGCCTTTCGACTGGCTTGGGCTTGGGCCCCGACTGCCATGACGCCGTGCTCTGAGGAGAAGCTGCCATTCGCCACGACGATAAAGCGCTCGCCTTTGCCGCGCTGCTCTGCAGTGTTCTGCGCTCTGCCCGGCTGGCTGACGAAGGAAGCCATTTTAATCACGTTGCCGTCCGACGTTCTTTTTCGACGTCTTCGTCTGGAAAAATGGGAAGAGGAGCGGGAGGGGAGGGGGGCTTCCACGGGCCGGAAAATGCTTCAAAGACAGTCGACGCCGTTCTTTTTGTCCGCCTCCCGTTCCGCGCCGTCGATGGCGACGATGGCGCACTGCGTACTGAATGCGTACTGACGCGTACTCGCTGACTGCGCGGGCCAGTGGGGCCTCGCCTGCCGTCGGCCCGCCGAGTTCCCAGTGTGGCTCCCAGCTTCCATTAGCGCGATATGCACGGCCAGCCAGCCGGTGTGGGGATTAATGGATTAATTCATTTCATTTCGGCATTTCGGTGGAGCAGTTTGTTTGGAGACTTGTTTGTCTTTGCCGCTCGTCACCGGCGTGGGGAGTGAGAGAGAGCGAGGTGGGCTGGCAAGCCATTGTGTGGGTTTGACGCCATTAGCCAGGATTGACTTGGTCCGCCCGTCTCTAAAAATAATCGGTGGTCGAACAAGAACAGAGCACTGCGGGGCAGATGCGTGGCGCGGGCGCGGTCGAACGTGGTGGGCTTGACCCCTCCCCCCTTTCCCCCTCTCTCACTCGCTCGACCATTCGCTCTGCCAAAAGCACCAGAGGGTTCTGCTTTTCGTTCCAGAAGCACATTGCTAGTCAGTCGCGTGCCGAAATTGGAACTGGGAGTCCCCGTACAGTCCCCGCCTCTGTAAACCCCTGCAAACCCTGTGAACCCGCGCCCAGTCCCTGAAACCTCTGCTGCCCGGAAGCCTCCCGAGGGACTTCCCTTTGCGAATCGCGCCCTGTCCGCCGGCCGCAGTCATTTCCACTTGAAAGGTTGCCTGCCTGGCTGCCTGCCTGGCTGGCTGGCCTGTGCCCTTGGTCACTGGAGGTGGGAGGGGTCCGGTGGGGCTTGGCCAGGCTTGGCCCTTGGCCCTCGCCCAAGACACTCGCCTGGCCGCCCCGCGCCCTGCAGCCCTGCACCGCGCCCCGCTGGTCCCGCCTCCGCGATCCTCGGCTGTAAAACCGAAAACCGCCCCCTGGCCCTGTGGCCCCCTGTGTGGGCCGGTGGCTCGGTCGGGGTCGCGATAACGCCGCTTTTAGCTCCACTTCGAGCGGCTTGCCCCACGTTTCGCTCGCATCTTTATTTCATCTGGCTTGCCCCATCTTTGAAAGGAAAAAGTGAAGAAACTTTTCTTTTAAAAAGGTGAAAAAAAAAAGAAGTGACGACTAGTACAGACTAGACTCGGTGTGTAACGAAGCATTCCCTCATGCGCGGAGCGCGCTGCTCCAGCATGGCCATTTCTCCCCCCCCCTCCTTTTTTTTCACCATTGACTGAGATGTCGCCACCGTATTGCCCTGTCGGCCTCTCGCCTTCATTGCCTTGCCAGAAGAATAAAAAGAGAAAGAGAACTAAATTTAAAAAGCTTGTTAAGCTCAGCTTTGTTCGCGCCAACTTGTCGCGTATCGTTTCATCAATCAGTAGCAATCGGTTACTCATGTCTTTCCTTGCTTGTGTGTTGCAGAAAAGAGGGGTTTCGTCTGATCAACGTCAGATCACCAGCATCGCAGCGGTCCAGGCAGAGGGTGGCTTCAGTCGGCCATGTTCACCAGGTACTACTCTCTCTTTCTCACATTTATCAAAATTAACCAGTAATGATGAATTTAAGAGTAACCAGACTTTTTCGTTGTTGACTCACTGTCTGTTCTGTCCTGCAGATAGCATGGATTGCTTATTCCCCAAACGGTGGGGGAAGCTAATAGTTGAGTTGGAGATTAACCAAACATAATTTAGAGAGGGGAGGCGCCTCTGCGCGCCCCGCACACCACTCACCATGGACCACAGTGTAAAGGCTATGGACTCGCACAGCAAGCTGTCCATCGCTCGCTTGCTAAATAGACACAGGTTTGAAAATGATGAGCTGGAAAGATTATATCGGCGATACACCTACAAATTACAGCACTCTTCTGTGAGTTTCGTTTCTATATTGTTCCCTTCTGTTGTCTGCTTTCACCGTTAGTGTTTTCTTACAAACTGTGATTGGTTTCTCCTGCAGGTGTCAAGTGTTGTCGGACTGTTTGTCATCCTCACCTTTGTTTTGGCAACAATAAGTCTGGCTTATGTACACGCGCCATCCGTACAGAACATATACCATGGCGTCCACTGCCTGCTGTTCGTATTGTTGCTGGCATTCCTCAAAACTAAACTCATGCAGGTAATGTGGAACTTGAGCGTCTGTCCACCTGAGGACGCCTTTGATGGTTTGGTTGGTTAATTAATTCTCGTCGTGTTTTCTGCTCGTCAGGATGCCTACTTGGTCTGGGTGTGCTACGCGGTGCTCTTCTTCTGCGTCACGTTCTGCGGCGTCTGGCTGCCGTTCGGCCCCATTCCAGAGCACATGGGCCTCGGCGGCCTCGGCGGCCTCGGCGCCACCACGGCGTTGTCCACCTCGGTGGGGGCCGGGTCGGGGGGCGGGCTGCGCGTCGACACGCGGCGCGTGGTGGCGGAGGGCGTGTGGCAGGTGGTGTTCGTCACCTTCCTGGCCTACGCCATGATGCCGCTCAAGACCTGGGTGTCCACGGCGTTCGGACTGATTCTCTCCGTGACGCACGTCGCGGTGTCCGCCTCCTTCGCCAAGGAGTTCCCGCATCTCCTGTGGCAGCAGGTAGGGCCTGGCGTCGCCTGGCGTGCTGTGCCAAGGCAGCCAAAGCCAAAGCAAGCTCATGTTCATTTGGCTGCTTTGCAGTGTGCTCGTTTGTTGTCTCTTACAAGTTAAAGTCACGAGGCGTTTTAATCTCTTCTTTTATTTTTCAGATCTCTGCGAATATCATCATCTTTGTGTGTGTCAATGTGGTCGGCTTGTTTGTTCACAATCTCATGGAACATGCTCAGCGCAAGGCCTTTCTGGACACTCGGAACTGTATCGCTGCTCGTCTGGAAATGGAGGATGAAAATGAAAAACTGGTGTGTATTGTAAAAACTTGGTGTGTAAGTCTATTATTGTGATCTACATCTCCCATTAACTTTAAACTGATTTCTTCTATCCAGGAGCGACTTCTTTTATCAGTCTTGCCTCAACATGTCGCAGTAGAAATGAAAAAGGATATTATTTCTCCTATTGAAGGACAGTTTCATAAAATTTACATCCAAAGGCATGAAAATGTCAGCATATTATTTGCTGACATTGTTGGTTTTACAGTCTTGGCATCTCAGTGCACTGCCCAAGATCTTGTCCGCCTACTAAATGAACTGTTTGGTCGATTTGACCAATTAGCTAATGTACGTTTAACTCTTTCCCTCTTACAACTGTACATTTGACCAATGCCTTACCCTCCTCTTTGACTTCATTTCCAGGACAACCACTGTCTGCGTATTAAAATTTTAGGAGATTGTTATTATTGTGTATCTGGTTTACCGGAACCTCGATCAGATCATGCCCACTGTGCGGTCGAAATGGGTTTGGATATGATTGATGCTATTGCGTAAGTCTGATTCCAATTCCAATTTTCTGTGTTGCAATCAATGGTTGAGCTAATAAATGCGACTTTGCCACTAACAGGTCAGTGGTAGAGGCAACTGATGTTCAGTTGAACATGCGAGTTGGCATTCACACAGGACGTGTTCTATGTGGTGTGCTGGGTCTCAAAAAGTGGCAGTACGATGTTTGGTCAAATGATGTGACAATAGCCAATAACATGGAGGCTGGTGGTGAAGCCGGGTATGTCATATTGAGTCAGAATCCTACTCTCATTATTAGCTACTATCATGAGTCCTCTAACTTAATCTTTGTTTTCATCCTTTAGTCGTGTTCATGTGACTCAAGCCACTTTGGATTGTTTGGCTGGTCAATATGAAGTGGAAGATGGAAGAGGTGGAGAAAGAAACCAGTATCTTCATGACAACCATGTGAATACCTATTTCATCGTGCCACCTGAGAGAAGGAAAAAGGTACAGTTCTGTCGTTTTAACCAGCTTATATCAATAAGACTGCTTAAGATTCAGTTTTCTGTGTGTTGTTTTTTTTCTTTATTTTAATTTAATAATCTTCATTAAGATTTTTCTTTCAGTTTGGTTCCCTTAATTTGTCCTTAATTTTGAAGTATCTTCCTATCACTTCCTCCTAACTAACTTTTTTGACAAACCCTTGCACAAAAAATCATGAAATAAATTTTGGCAGCATTTTTATATAGCTAGTCATTTTTTTTATTTTTGTGTGTTTTATTTAACTCTTACCAACTATATATTGCACTAGTTCAATTTTGATTTTGTTCGGCCTCTTAAATCCCTCCCATATATCAAACAAGACAAATTCTTTTATATGAGAGACCATCACCTAGTCACTGTTCTGCGTCTTGAAGTCTCTGTGTAAGCAGACAGGTATATTCTAGATTTGAATTGATGGTTGTAATCATGGCTAGCTCTATGGTCATATCATCTACTACAAAGGCAATTTAAGGAAGAGTCTATTTTACAGTACTAGTTGGACATCGATTCGTTCGGTATTAAATGAGCGCTGCATGGCTGCCATTTGAGTTAGATACAGTGATAACGTTAACTTGACCTGTCGGTCGAGTGACAAGTCCAAAATATTCAAGTCATGGTGTAAATGATGGTTAAATTTATTTAGGATTGCAAATTATAACTGAATAATTGTACTCTGTGAAAGCATTCAAGAGGGTTATTCCCAGAAAGTTTTTGACTGACCTTTTCTGTGAGATTCCTCAGCTCGCAGATTCTCTTCTGAATTCACTGCTCCTTTTCGATTACAACAATTTGCTCTGGCTTTTGATTTCTTTTAAAATCATTTGGACTGTCTCTCTTTATGTTTGAGTTTGATTCACCTTTGTCAACTGCATGCCAACATTATTTACCTACCCATTATTTAACTTTTGGGTTGTCAGTATTAGCTTTATGTATACAGCTTTTCTGTTTGTGTTGTTGTTTTGTTTGTTTGTGTGTTTGTTTGTCCATCTATCTTGTTTAGAGATGCATTTATCTTAGCCCTTCCTATTTCAACCACACTTTGCATGAAAATTGAGCACAAATTCAGTTGGTTCACATCTTTATTTTGAATGTTTTGCCTTTTCTTTAAAAATTTTATTTGGCCTCCTCTTTGGCCTAGAAGCAAACGATTCTTCGACCAATTCCATTTGAAATTGATTAAAAAAATTTGTCTGTGCATGATTTATGAGTGTTCAGATAGTAATGCGGCACAAAGAGCTATTCACTAGTTTTGTGAATGAATCTTGTGACTTGTGGTTTTGGCAATGACAGCTTCCCTTCACTTGGGTTAAATCATATCTACAATGAATTTGTTGGAGGAATGAGTCCTTGTCTTTGTGCTACAGTTGCATTGCATTACACCTTGAAGCTTTCCACACATGTACTCAAGCGTGCACTGTTAGCTGTGGATTGTTCAGCCAGCTGGGGTTTGCTTCATTCATTGCTGGGCTCAGCTCTGTGTCTCTCTCTCAAGAGTCAGGACAGAAATGTATCGCATTGTGTCAAGCCTACTATATTTTGGGTCAAACGGGTTGCCAATAGCAGAGGGCTAAGCTGTATGTTGCTTGCATGTCGACTGTGCGTGGCGGTGGGATTAATCTGCTTTCTTGGTGTGCGCACGTGGTGGTCGGCCCTGGGCCGATCCGTTCCGCGCGTTCCTTTCTCTTCTCTGATTGCAGCCATTATTGTTCAACACTCTCCAGGTGCGGTCAGCATTGGGCGCTGCTCAGCGGAAGAAGCTGTCCTTCCGAAATGTTTCAAACGTTGTGGTCCAGCTCCTGCATACCATCAAGTTTTCCATGGAGGTGCCCTTTTCCAACATGGCTGCTGGCGGCGGTCCGGGAGAGCTGAAAGTTAATGCAGCCAGAAAGGTGAGAAGATGTTGCATTTGCCCTCTGTTTATTCCATGATGGTTGCATCGGCAACCATAATTTTTTGAAAGGATTTCTGCTTTGAAGCATTAAGTTAAAGAAGTTGATTAGTAGCAGCATACATTTTTCTCAATTGCAAAAGATAGCAAGCATATTTGCTCGCAAGTATTTTAAAAATACATAGTGAACATGTTTAAAGCTTTATATGTTTGTGCGTATTCTTTTGAATGGCCGAATTTTGTGTCGTTGCTGATACTTTGTTCTCTTTGATTATGATGCATGCCTGAGCTAGTTTTATGTCAGCATAATGCATGGTTGAATTTGTTTTAAGAGTGGATGTTGTTTCTTTTAGGATGCGGTAAGTGCAGCTTGAGTACCTTCTTTAAAGTCCTCTTACCAAGTTACCTGGTAAGTTTTTAAAATTTTGCCATAATAGGTGAGTAGGCAGCCTCTAGATTATTTACAGTGTTCATTAAATCAAGCTTTGAACACCATACATGTGTATCTCCTCTCAAACATTAGAATAATATTTTTGACAGCAAATTTGAGATGCAAAAGTGCATGTAATTGTTACTGCTTTATATATTTATACTGTTGAATGCATGTGGTTTAGAGCTATTTTCTGCTCCAGATTGGAAGAATGTGAATTCATTAGCAACATCCACATAGCTGAAGTACAAGAAAATTTTTGTGTCTTTTTAATTTAAAAAATTTAAAGAGTGGTAGAAATGATTATGTTTGAGTTGTTGTATGATGGTGTGGTTGTATTGTGGCATGCCCTGCTTTTAGGTCCTAGACCTGCAGCGGGCCCTACATGCTGATCCCACATCAGCAGGAGGTCGAGCATTTGGGACTTCCAACCCTCTTGACCTCAGAGATATTGGTGGCAAGGTTAGTTAGAGTGTATTGTCTTGACTTTGACTGTTTTGTATTTTTGTGGTACATTTTCAACAAGTGATGAATGTGTGTTGGGTTGCATGTTTAAAATTTTGGGAATGCTCACCTCTTAAAAACTGGTTTCTCCTCTTGCAGAAGAAAGTGACAGAAAAATTCAAGCGACCTTTCAAAAAACGGCATTCAAGTGTGTATCATCAGCCATCAAACCGAGTCAACAAGTATCTTGCTCAAGCAATTGATGCTCGCAGTGTGGACAGGGAAAAATCTATCCATGTGAATCTCTTGACATTGTACTTCAAGGACTCGGCTAAAGAACATCAAGTATGGAGCTACCAATTTTAAGCTTGTCATGAATTTTTTTGTTAAAATTTATTTATTGTATACCTAATTTGGTTCCTTTACCTATGCAGTATCATAAAGATGTAGACCTAGGATTTTCAAGTGGACTTGCATGTGCCCTGGTGCTACTTTTACTTTTGGGAGCTCTACAAGTGGCTGTTCTCCCCCGAACAGTCATTGTCCTGCTTCTCTTCCTTCTAACTTTTGTTTGGATCTCTGTAAGTATTCAATAAATATTTACTGCTCCATTGTAATTAGGATTGTTTTAATTTATTCTGAGCTTTCCTATCATTCTTATAGGTTGTCTTGATGTTGCTACTTGCTGTGCGTTTGAGATGGATTACTCCAAGACTAGATATATCTCGTAGCTTTGTTCTACGAGTCGCCATCACTGTGTTCACCATTGTGCTAGTGTACTCTGTGGCTCAAGCAAATGCCGTAAGTTTTTAAGTGTTTCCATTCCATTGTATACACCTATAAAATCAATATGCCCTCTAATGTTTGAATACGCTTCAGTTCACATGTCGCTGGGATGCACCATGTGTCCTCCATTCTTCTGCCAACATCACTCTTGAAAATGGGGGCCTGACAGCAGTAGGACTGGGCAGTGCTGTTGGCCTTGATCGGGATCATCGTGCCTGCCCAATCCCACAATACATAGCGCTCTCATGTTCACTTGGATGCCTTGCTGTGGCCCTTTTCCTGCGGCTCCCAATTATGATCAAAGGTGTACTTTTGTCTTTGATTTCGTTGATATACTTCCTCCTTGTTATACTTTCTCATAGGGAAGTATTTACCTGTTATGATCAAAGAGTCCAGTAAGTACCACTTATCCAGATCAATTGTGTGCAAGGAGTTCTGTTTTAATTTATTACAATGTGGTTTCTTTTTCTCTTTTTTCCTCCAGCGCTGTAATTCCACAAGACCATCTCAGCATTGTTTATGTTATTATGTTCCTACTTGCCGTCATAATTCATGGGAGACAGATAGAATGGACTGCAAGGCTTGACTTCCTTTGGCAAATTCAGGTTAATATTTTACTCAAATCTTTGCTGTTGTTGTTTTTGTTATGTATTAAAAGTGTATCCCTTATTGTACAAATGTGCTTTCAGGCTCATGAAGAGAAGGGAGAAATGGATGCCCTGCAGAGTAGCAACCGGCGAATTCTGTTTAATCTCCTTCCTGATCATGTCGCACTTCACTTTTTGAACAACCAGCTTCGCAGTAACATGGTAAGCAGTGTTGTTTTTTTTTTGTTTTTTTTTTTTGTTTTTTTTTTTTTGTATGGAAGAGAGACCTTCTTGAGGATATGTGTGTGTGTTCTTGTTCTAACAAGTCTCTAGATGTTCTTGTTATCTCTAACCCTGTTGTAAAAGACAGATATAGTTATTGAAAGATAAGATTTAAATAATAGCAATTATAATCGACTTATATGTTTTCAATAATGATAGCTCGCAAGCTTCAGCTCACAAAAATAAATGTTCCCTATTAAATGTTGCTTGTTCTATAGATCCTCTTAGAATGAAGGTGTAATCGTCATTATTAGTTCTTTTCATGAAACTATACTGATTCTTATATCATCACTCATACTCATTTTTATGTGCTTTTGTCTGTTCCTCTCCCTCCTTCTCACCTCCTCACCTTATTTGTCGCTTGCGAACCCCGCCTGCTTTTCCCGCTTCTCTACCCAACCCCTCTGTATCCTATGGTGCTGCTGCTGCTGCTGCTGCTGCTGTTCCTGCTGTTCCTGTTGCCGCTGTTGCCATTGCTGCGGATGGCCACACACAGAGCACTCTGTCTCAGGAGCTGTACCATCAAAGCTATTCCCGTGTGGGGGTTGTCTTTGCATCCATCACCAACTACCATGAGTTCTACATGGAACTGGATGGCAATAACCTTGGAATGGAGTGTCTTCGTCTCTTAAATGAGATAATTGCCGACTTTGATCAGGTTCGTTTGAGTTATCCAAGTTGTGGACCTTTTTATTATTATGTTTCATTTTATTGATTATTCATCTGAAATCTCTTTTTTTCAGCTTTTGGAAGATGGTCGCTTTAAAGCAATTGACAAAATCAAGACTGTTGGCTCTACATATATGGCTGCTGTGGGTCTATTGCCCGAGTATAGAATTTTAGACGATGATGAGGAGTCCAGTGCTGGTCAGCATATGAGTTCTCTCGTAGAATTTGTTTATGCCATGCGGGAGACTCTGTTAAACATCAACACTAACTCATTTAACAATTTCAAATTAAGAGTTGGTCAGTATTATCTGAAAAAATCCATTCTTATCTCATATTGTGCACAACAAATTATTTTTCTTACAAAATTTATTTTGTGTTGTAGGCATCAATGTTGGCCCTGTTGTTGCTGGAGTCATTGGTGCTAGGAAGCCACAATATGATATCTGGGGCAATACAGTGAATGTTGCCAGCCGCATGGATTCTACTGGGGAGCCTGATCGCACTCAAGTAAGTAAACTGTTTCACTCGAGTCAAAATTTTAGAATATGGATATTTGAACTTCTGTATTATTTGTAGGTTACGGAGGAGGTCTTCCAAATACTTCGCAATCATCCATATCAGTTCCAATGTCGAGGTGTCGTGAAAGTAAAAGGCAAAGGTGACATGACAACATATTTCCTTAATGAGAGGAAGCCACCTGGCACCATTCGAGTCGAAGAACTTCCAGGTCTTCGTGGCCAAGCAGGATTAGGTATATTTTTTTTTCGAACTTATCAGTTTGGTTTCTTGTTATATTATTTTTCATTATTTCATTTGAAATTTACTTATCATATGCCTTTTCCATTGTAGTGGCCAACATGTATGGGGGTGTACCAACACCTCTTGCAATGTTACATCACATTCAAGGTGATTTGTCCAGAGGCAAATGTCTGAGACGTGATGATGGAGGTGCTCTTCTTTCAAACTGTTACCGCAACCCCTCTCGACTCCCGCCTCTTCGTGAAGCTATGCAGGGTTCTGGTAGTCGCAGCGGAAGTGGTAGTGTTAGTGGTCATGGTGTTCACCCAGAAAACGGATTTGGAAGTGCTGAAAACGAACCACTTCTTCCGGATCCCAAACTAGGACATGCCTATCAGGTAAGGGTGTCTCTCAATTGCAACAGTTGCGTGAACAAATTTTTAAGAAAAATTATTATTCAGTATTAAATTATTGTTTTCTTTGTCAGCAACCCATGAAGATCCCAGGACCATACATGAACAATCATCTTAGTCATCACAGCAGCAGCAGCAGTAGCCATGCAAGTAATATGAGCCACCTGAACCACGTTGGTCATGTCAATGGAAGAGTCAAGAGGTCAAGCCTAGAGCGAGAACGCGAATCTGGCGATGGAATGCCCCACCACTCGCAGCCTCCCCCCCTCCCACCCCACAAGGGCATCTCCCACATGCAGTTCCCCTCAGCGCCGAGTGCGTCCGCTTTGGCTTCCAAGAGGCAACAGGAGTCTGCGAGGTAGGCTGGCTTTCCGTTTGATCCCGTTTTTTGGCACATCAGCCTGGTGTGCCTTGTGCCCCATCCCCCCTCACCCCGGCCGTCTTCTGTTTCAGGTACACTCCGCCATGGCCCAGAGGGGGCGAGGCATCCGGCCGCCACATCCTGACCAACTCGAACCACACCAACAACAACCACGGCAGCCAGGTGAACGAGGCCCTGAGCAAGCCGTACGCCAAGCCCTTGCCGCGTCCTCCAGGCAAGGACGGCCGCCACCACCGCGGCCACCACCGCGCGCACAACAGCGGGGCCAGCGGTGGTGTGAACGGCGGCCTCAACGGCGGCGTGAACGGTGGCCTCAACGGCAGCCACGCGCCGCCCCTGCCCCCGCATCAGGTGCTGCACCCCGCCGTGCACCAGGCGCTGCACCCCGCGCTGCGGAGCGAACGCGACCCGGGTGCTGCCGCTGCTGCAGTGCTGGACGAGGCCAACCTCCGCGCCAAGCTCCGCGCCGTCCACAACCCCCCTCAGCTCCAGCGGCACTACTCCGATGAAAGCTTGCAGGGTAGCTCTGCCTTGACAGGCGGCTTCTACTTGCAAGGGCCAGCCAACCACAGGATCCATTCATCGGCTGATGAAATCAGCTCGATGAACCACTCGCCAAGTATTAGCTCTTCGGATGAGAGCTACAGTCGAACGACTGATGCAAGTCCTTCGCCTTCCCCACCTCCAGGCAATGCGGGCTTGAGCAATGAGCCCCCGGAAAAGTGGCTCTATCCTTCTGACATCCAAGTGAATCCCTGTTCGTCGCCTGAGCACTCTCCAAGGGCAGCTCACGACTACATCCCTCCGCAGTGCCTCATTTCTAGTAGTCAGAATAACAATTCAGACGAAGGCCGAGGCGCGTCGCGCGGGTCTGGAGGAAGGAGAGAATGGAATGCTTCGCCCCAGAGGCATAGAAGTAATGGTTCTTCTGGAGCCAGACGCAAAGTCGGAGACAAACTTCACCCTTCAACGCTTCTTGCACTTGCACAGGGGGCCGTAGATTCTTCATGTGTGTCCAGTCCCTTACCACCGCTTTTGGATGGCGATGATTCCTACCGAGGAGACAGTTGTGGTAGTTTTGAATACATTGGACGTCAAGAAGCCTTGAGGCATGCTGCTGAATCCAAGCTCCCCAGCAGAGCAATGAAGAAAACATTATCTCCATTGAATGTTGAAAATGTTTTAAGAAATGGCTTGTCAGACGACCATGCATCCCCTGATGAAAGCCACCGACCCCCTAGCAAACATTCTTCAAAACATTCACCAAATGTTGAAGGCTCAGGGAGAGAATCCGAAAACAATGAAGACAACCATTCTCACTCTCACTCAAGGTCCACATCAAGTGGCAAGTCCTCAAAGAAAGATGGGTTCAGCCAAACCGACCGCAAAGATGTCTCAACCAGACATCACAATCATCATAATCACCATGGCCACCATGGACATCACAGCCATCGTCATCATAATCACAAGGACACTGTTGATGGAAATCCCAATGGGCATCCCATTGAATCTCGCCGAGGTCATCAAACGCGCGCTGAGTTTGAACGAGAAATTCAGAAACGCTTGGATGATCCAAAGCTAATTAGGAACACGAGTCAAGAAGAGCAAGAATTAGTCAACAGTCCTCCTCTAGCGAATGAGTTAGGTGCTGCATCGCTCAAGAAACATCAGCAGCAACTCAACAACACCCCTGCCGGAATGCTGGGCAGGTATGTAGCTGAAGCTCCAGCACCAGTGCTGTCCTCTGCCCCTAGTAGTGCCAGCAGTACGTTGGCCCAAACGCCCTATGTTGGCTTAGCAGCCATTCAAGAACTGGCAAGGCGTCAACAGGAGGAGTTAGAGATGGAAGAATTATCATCAAACAAATCCATTTTGGCACCCATTCCCATTCAATCTTTAGGGCTCAAAAGCCCTCTTGAAGAAAAAGTGACTCTAGTTGGTGACCCTGATGACTCTGAGACCTCCACTATAACAGGACTCAGGCTGAGCGCAGATCACACATCTCCCCCAAGGTACTAAATTCCAATGTTTCCCAGAGCTGTCTGTGCATCCGCTGGTGCTGGTATTTGCTCCTAATGGTGATGGTATTATTGCAAATAACTGAGTTGGTTCATCAATGCATATTAGTATGCATTTTCGTAAAGTACTTTGATACTTAAATTGATTCCCAAATAACAAAGTCATAAACAAAATCATTTTTTCTTTCATTGTTTTTTGCTTATTTAAGCAGCAATTAACAGCTATCAATTTTCATTACATTGTGTCAAGAATTAAGTTCCTTTTCATAATTTTATTTGAATGAAAATTAAGTTGATGGGCCTTTATCAGTTGTTTTTTGTTGTTGTCGATAACAAGGCATGGTGTGCTGCATTTGACTGATGTTGACATTCAGTTTATCTCGGATTTGCATGTCATCTTTGACGCAGTAAAGAAAGAACACTGTTTGGACTGGATTAGAGTGAGGGCTGTGCATGAAAAATTAACCATTTCAATTGATGCAAATTGCCTTCATAACTATGCATGTATTGCGGTCCAATAACAAGTACAAGTATACTTTTTGAACGAAGAAAACCAGTACTTTGCAGCTCATTACCTAGTTTAGGTAAAAAAATAGATAACCATCGTAGTCTGACATGTTAAAACCTCTTAAAATGTAATATCCTCTACCACCTAACATGAACAAAAACATATCTTTTTATATTGTACCAGCTATCATTATGTTCATGGTGTATTATTGTCAGAAATGTACAAATAATGTTTTTTTTTTCAATAGCTGTGAGACAGTAACCTCATTAGGGCATGATCCTTTGTTATTAAACAATTGAGAACTTATTTGTTATGCTCAATTCATAACAGGATGTAAATGTTTTAATTAAGCTGCAAAGCTGATCATCTAGTATTCATTAAATGAATGTTCACATCTGAAGTTGTACCCCAGTCCTAGGTTGTGCGTGTGCGTCTGTCTGAGTGAATATGTGTGGTATTTGTTGAAAGGGACTATGTTACTGAAGTAGTCTTTCTTGCTGTAACATATCTGGATTTTTTTTTTTTTTTTTTTTTCAATTTTTGTTGGTTTGTTGCACTGTTTGTTGCTTTCTTAAATTTCAATAATGAATTGGTCATAAGCAAAATGTTTGGTATGGTGGTGGTATATTAGTGGTGTGTCAGCTGTATCAGTCTAATTAAATTAATGTATGGAATACAAGTTTCTGTGCAAAACAAGAATTTGCCATAGACCTGAGGAACTGTATCAGTTATTAAGTGGCAGATTAACTTTGTATATAATGCATGGTTATTTTCTTGAGGTCGAGTGTTTGTGGAAGTTTTGCACATGGATTGATTTTGCCAATGCAACTAACACCTTATGGCTTATTCAAACTAATTTTGTTTATTTGCCAATATCTTGTTTTACGTCCAGCATGTAGACTTGTGCGTAACAAGTATCTAATGTCTTCTTTCTTTTGTCAAGCAGGAGCCCCAGTGGTGAAATCACATTTGAAACAAGAGATGAGGTGAAGAAAGAGAAAGCAATCAAGGAAAACAACATCACGGAGGAGGACATTGATGAGATAGAAAGTTTTGAGCGTGAAGAGCAACGAATACAGGAGGAAGTAGAACGTCAGGTACATTTTCCAATAAAGGACTTTGAAAGTATCAAATAAGTAAAACCCAAATCATTGCATAATTATAATTAATGGTTTGTTTTTGGTGTGTGTGTGTGTGTCTTTGTTTAGGAGGCTGCTGTGAAACGTATGCTTGAGGAAAGTGCCAAGTGCGTAGAAAGAGGTATTTTTACTGCTAATGGAGGTGGAGGTGAGACAAGCCAATCTGAATGGAGTGAAGATGATGATGAGGAAGATGATGACGATGAAGAAGACGATGAAAATGCTGCCTCTGAGCCTCTTTTAAATGATCGAGAATCCACAGGCTACACGACTGATGATCCTGCTCTTGAAAATATTTCTATGCTGAATGAAACTGGACTCACAGATGCTGAAGGTTTGTGATGCCATCATATAGTTGTATTCTCATTCTCACTGGCAATTAAGGTTTTTCATTGGCTTCTTCTGTTGATGGCAGGTGCTTTAAGTGATGTCAATTCTGCCTGTGATGGGCATGATGATATCCATGATGGAGATGACAATACCAGCCTTTCATCTAGGGCCTCATCTCGAGTCTTTGACTCAGATGCTCTGATGAGTCTCGATTCTATGAGTGTCCTGTATGATTCAGAATATGATAATTGTTGTAGAACAGATGACGATCTTGGATTGCCATCTACACCAATGCAGCACATTCATGCTGCAAGCATTAGGTCTGTTTCCCAGAGTATTTTGCGGAATTTTGGACAGCCTCGCAGTGAGACTGATAGTGACGTCTGAACGACCACGCAAGAATCAATTTTCATCTCAATGTTCAGTCTTGATTCAAAGAGTATCTTTTGGGCCGTACTAATGTGAGCCTCACTTTGTGATAGATAAATTATATTTTAACCAAGTGCCATTCCGCAGGACCTTTTAAGAAAAGGCATTGTTTGCTGTGTAGAAAATGTATCTTGTGGTAATATCTTAAATTTCATGTGCATAGAACAGTTAAGTCATGTTTCCTTTTGTCAATTAATTCTAGTAGTTGTACTGTAGGCGTTTGTCAAGATAAATAAGCTTCGAGGCAAGTTGTGTTGGAATGCATAAGAACAGATGCCTGACAGAACAGTAACTGGATGATGGCATTATGCATTCTGTGTTACTGAAGTGTTTCGTCCTTGTCATTCTGCCTCAATCACTATATCTGAAAATTGGTGTTTCCAATGCAACTGCTTAAATGATCTTTCTCCTAAATGTACTATGTACACATGGCTTAGCTGAAATTTCAATCTATTGTGATCTTATACAGTATTTTTATAGGCTTCTTTAGATTTCACATGGTGTGGATGGAAGATGATATAAGTTTTTGAATACAGTCTTGCCTCCAAAACTTCTCTCTTTAGCTAGATGTTTTTATTTAGTATTTGTTTTATTTTCTTATGAATCTCAAGTATCATTGTGTTACTAATTTTTGTTTCTAGAGGTTGTTCTCTGGAAGCAAATGCCTCGTAGTATGTGACCTTTTTTATTCTATTTAAGTGGCCAGGCATGTAACCTGAAATGCTTCTCATTGGGAGACATTTCTTGTTATTTAATGAATCTAGTCTGTTTATTATTCGTTTGTTGTTTACCTACCATCTATGTATCACATCTCATTAGTGTTTTATTAGCCGTTTTGTAGACAGTTTTTGAACTGCTCTTATTTTAATTGTTCTGTTGTATATACACTTTAAAACAAATTGAAATTTCCATCCTTTGAATTTTATATTGTGCAATATTTTTAAAGCTAATGGTTAAGGTAAATTTTAAAACGATTAAGTGGTTCATAAGAGTTTCAGAAAAGAATATTTTAGAACACAACACGACTCTTAAATGCCAGCCTCCTGAGGTGTCAGGCATGCCATGTTTTACATTGTTTTTGTCTTATTTTATGATTATTGGTGAGGCTGTATGTCCTCAAGAATTTTTTTGTTTCGTTTTTCTCAACAAGGAGTTTCATTTTCTTTTAGTTTTGTTTTATTTTAACAGCAATGCCAAAGCATTTTGTTGATATGTACTTCAAGTAACCTCAGCTTGTTTTGCTTTCCACAAAAATAATAATCATCAAAAACAAGAATGTAGTTTATAAAGTCTCTTGTACATACCATTTGTAAATATAGCTATGTTGATATGTATGTGAACAAATATGTGATGATGATTTTATTGGACCTAATTGTAAAAATTATGTATTGTTTAACTTTATACAATTTTTGTTTGTGTTAACTTATATTTTTATCTCAGTTTTTTTTCCCCCTGCTTGCAATATAGTTTGGTTTTGGACTGTCTTTAGACTTCGTTGTTAAGAAATCATGTCTGTTATGTTGTCATTCTCAAGTAAATGCTTCCTGGTTCTATCCCGGTATGTTGTGTTGTTACTGCTTCCAATGCAATCATATTGTGGTGTTCTGTTTTTAAAATGTTGTTATTGTTAATTGTGTTGTAGACCTGCCTTTTACCCAGCCATTGCTGTAGCCTGAGTAGATTGAAACAGGTCTGTGCTGTGTCAATTAAAATTTCTCTCTTTTGGATATGTGCTAGAGGAAGAATTGTATTGTACTGGAAGCAGATTTGACTCAAAAAGTGCTGTACTCTATATCCTCAAGTGGCTCTAAAGATTTTTTTAAGTAATTAAACTTTGAAAGATAAGTTCAAGCACTGATATTTATTATCTTAGTCAAGTAATTGTTGCTTGATGGTATGAGACTAATCTCCATAGAGTACTGCTTACAGAGACTGAGGAGGAACAAATCTTTGCTAGTAAGTATTTTTTATTAAAACCTCATGATATGGCCTGTGTATGAAATGAGTTTTTGCTCATTTGTTTCACTTTAAGTACTTCAAAATGTTACAGTTGCTTTTGGGTTTGAATTCATTTTCATGTAAATTATCTAACATACTCTTGGAATGAACATAATTGGTGAAAGAAAGGTTGAAGCCACTGCATGGATTGTATGCCCTCCAGAAAAGTTGTTGTTGTGTAAATGGACTGGTTGTTTCTCCGTTTGATAGCTGCTGTGTTTGTAATAGTAGATACCACTCTGGCAACATCAAATCTGTTATTGATAGAGGTTCTGCAGTGACTAATCAAAATCAAATCCTTGTCAGTACAACAGTCTTGAATATAAACTGGGACAAGGCAATGCTCAATGCTCTTTTTGGAAGCATTTTCTCTTTAGCTGTAGTAATTTCTGTTGGGCAGAAACCAGGTGGCTCAAACAACTGATTTATGTTTGTTTAGAAGTAATTGTTTGGCAATAATTGAGATTTCTTTTGATTTTTGGTACCCAGGAATGTCTTTGAAGATCCCTCAAGTTTTCATTAAAATCATGGGTGTGATATTATTTTCACCTGACTGATAATAGCAGAATATGGAGCAGTTAATACTCTTTGGTGTATTATTGGTGTAGACTAAGAGTCAAAGCAAGATTGCCTTCTTGTGTGTCTCTTATCATCTGACTTACTGCACAACAGTTTCTAGATTTTAATTTTGACCACAAAAATAAGACAGATAATTATATGTTTGCACTGATTGGTAATATGCTAGCCGAATTTTACAGTTGACTAAAGTGTTAATTTATTGTAAAAATAGTGAAGGAGTTGTTAAGTCTCACGAACAAACTTCCTATTAAATATGTTGTTCTTGGGTATTGATGTATGTAATGATAATATGTCTTGTGCATTGAAGCAATTTGAATTTCATTCAGGAAGTAAGTCACAACTTGTCTATTTTACGAGATATTGTGTACTCATGATATTCAGAGAAAGGAATGCTGTTTGTATTAAGGCTGTTTAGATCTGATTCAGTTAATGCTCTTTTCAGTTCCCATTTGTAGCAGTGTATATAAGTGTGCCTATGCTCTGTGAAAATAAAAGTTCATTCAGACTATGTTTCCTCTCTCCATCAAAAACCACTTTGTCAGATTGGTATTGCTTGCAAGTACTGACCAAATGGGTTGATAGACCAATGCCTATGACCTTACAAATATAATTAAAAGATTCTCTTTTATTATAAGCACATGTACACAGATTTGGTATATAATTCACAATTCCTAAAGCCAAAGTGTTTATTGAATAGACAATCTTGAGGGCATTTAAAAGTCCCTATATATAACAATGCAATTCTAGCATGTGCAAAATTTCAATAAAGGAATGAAGCAGGATAGAGGGCTTTAGAAGTCTTTGGAAAGACAATCATTTCAACAAATTAGAAAGAAAGGATTTTACAGACAACTATGAAGTGAATGAAAACGGATCACGAAATTTTACCCTCACACTTTGAAGTGCATTTATGCCACATTTGCTGACACAGCACGTGATCAAATTTATTCTAGTGTCTAGTGTTGACAAAAAACATAAGTCCTGGCTCATTGAAACGAGTCCAGGGCATTTCCTGAATTGTGGTTTTCAGCTAAAACTCCTACCATTAACACTAATCTTAACATAAATAGAAAACATCAACAATAAATGTAAACTTAACTCTTTGGGATAAAATAATATGGATTACACAAAAATGGAAATGACTAACAAAGGACTAAGTTTCAGCAGGCTTCTCTATCATACACTTCCCAAACACAATTTACTTTGTCTAGGAATCATCACATTGGAAACATCGAATATATTTTGTTGTTCTTTTTTTTACAAGATCTATACAAATTGCTTATCACACTCAAAAGAAATTAAGCCACCCGATCTTCCGCTCCCATATACCGGGTCCGAGGTCGGTGGCTCATACGACGTAAGGCCGGTACAGGGGTTCGTCGTGGAAGCCGTGGGCCGCAGGGAAGCGGCGCGGCGGCACCCGCGGGTACGCCACCGACCCCATGGGGGGCGTGGCGGGGCGTCCTGGGCCTGGCGGCGAGTGGTGGCCGCCCACCCCCCTGCTGTCGGGCCCCGGAGGTCCCGGAGGGCTGGCCGCCCTGGCCGCCCTGGCCGCCCTGTCCGCGTCGCCGACGCCGTGCTGGAGGTCGTCGCCGGCCAGACTGACGCGGTCCGCGCCGCCTGAGCGCCGCCCGTCCTCCGCGACGGCGTCCGCGCCGGCGGGCCCCCGCGGCGGCAGGGACGACGCCGTCCTCGCGGGCAGCTTGTCGCGGTCCTGGCCGCGGTCCTGGGGGCCGCCGGTCCTGGCCGGCCGACGACGACTCGCTGCCGTTGCTGGCCGTGCTGCTGCCGCTGCTGCCGCCGCCGCTGGCCGCGCCGGCCGACGACTTGGCGCCCGAGCCGGACCGCTTCTCCGAGTCGCGGCCCTCGCGGCCCTCGCGACCGTCGTCGCGGTTCTTGGCCTCCTGCTGGGCCTTCTTGCTGCGCTTCCACTTCATCCGCCGGTTCTGGAACCAGATCTTGACCTGCAACAGCCACCAGAGGGCGCACCGTTATGCACTTCCCTCACGAGACCACTCTGCAAACGCAGCTTTCCCCCTCTCACATGCAAAAGAGTTGCCACCGTCGGGCCCCGCTCCCCTGCCCCCGACCGACCGCCTGCGACCGACGGTGTGGGATCACCTTTAGAACTGTTTAGAACAGTGTGCATGGAGGCACACATCTCAGCAACGCCCCGCCGTGAAGCGACGACACTGGACGGCACCCGCGCGGCGCCGGTCAAGTGAATAACACGCCGAAAGGTTAACCGGGGACGGGGACCGACGCCAATTGCATTAGTCGGCCGGCACTTTCGCGGCTGCAGACTGATTCCGAGAGTCGTTTTCGTCGCTCTGTCTCTCTCGCACCTGCACGGAGCGCCCCATGAGTGCGAGAGAGACGAAAGAGGACTCTCGGAATGAGTCTGCTGGCTGCACCCCTCTGCCGGCCTGCCCTCGGCTCCCCTCCCCCTGACCGCTGAATGCCGGCTGAATGGATTGCACTTGCACCAACTTGCACCCTCGCGGCCTGCCTGGCCTTGGCTGCCTTGGCGTCGCGACGCCGCGCCGCGCCGTGCCTTCGAATTAGCACTATTTGCACACATGTTGTCGGCCGGTGGATTATCGCCCCGTCCCCGTCCGCCGTCGCGCTGCACCGCCTGCACCGCCGCCACACGCCTCGTTACGCCGCAGGCTGCTCTCGCTCTGTCTCTCTCGCACTCGCGGGGCGCGCCGTGACCGTGCGAGAGAGACAGAGCGAGAGCTGCGTGCTGCTAATTGGCTTTCGGAAAGCCGAGCCGACGTTGAGGCGCGAAGCGCGGCGCCTTGTTCGAAATTAGACTGGGAAGGCGGGACGCTGCTTTGAAGCAGAGCGAAGCAGCAGGCGTTTTCGTCGCTCTGTCTCTCTCGCACTCATGGGGTGTCCCCTAGGCGCAAGAAGGACAAAATTCACATTCTAACGACTGTGATGCCACATTCGTTGAATAACAGTGTTGGAGACTGATTCCGAGAGTCGTTTCGTGGACGGTGGACGATGAGGGGGAACTCTTTTGCCCCTTTTCCAAGGTGGGCGTACGGACGTACCTGCGTCTCGGTCAGCATGAGGTTGGTGGCGACCTCGAAGCGCTTGGGCCGGCTCAGGTACTTGTTCTGCCGGAACTGCTTCTCGAGCTCCAGCAGCTGCTGCGACGTGAAGGCCGTCCTGGGGCGCCGCGTCTTGCCGAGCAGCGCGTGCTGGCCGCCGCAGCCTGTAACAGTGGAGTGGAAGGGCCAGCTCAATAAGGGCACTTGACTCGGGTTCGAATCCCCGCGCCGGCCTCACTTTTCACACACGTTTTTTGCTGTTTTTGTTTTCTGGGGGCGTTTTTGTTTTCTTTCACAGCGATGAAAGAACAACCTGGTGGCACCCGCTGGCGGGACTCGAACCCGCGACGCAGCCCATCGAGCGACCGCTTCGGCCATTTCGTCCAGCGGATACGCGTGGATACGGTCCCTGGTCCCTGTCCTCGCGGCCCCCGGCGCGCGAGGAGCTCCTGTGGGAGCCATTGGGTCCTTGTTGGGTCCTGCACGCTCATCTAAGCGCCAAATGGCCGAGGCGCGGCGGGGCGGGGCGGGGCGGGGCGGGGCGGGGCGGGCGGGGCGGGGCGGGGCGGGGCGGGGCGGGGCGTCTGTCATCGAGCGTTCCACTGCGTTCCAGTGTAGCGGGCTAATGGGGTCGTTACGGCGCTAATCAAGTGACACCGCCGGGCATTGCCGGCAGGCCGATTCCAAGTGGCTGGGGGTCTCTCTCTCGCACTCACGGGGCGTCCTGCATAGGAGCGAGAGAGACAGACCGACGGGACCTCCCCCAAAACCCGTACCATCACAATATCTCGGGTGGAGGAAAAGCCGGGAAAAACTCTTCGCAGAAAAATGCTTTTGGCAGAAAAATCCTCTCCCGCCCCCACGAGCGCGGGGAAGATGAAGAACAGCAGCAGCATTGCCGAAGAAGGGCAAAGATGGGACGCAGAGAGAGGGGGGAGGGCATCTCACGAGTAATGCGGCAATTAGAAGTCGGCGTGTCGGCCTGATTGGATCATTGCCGCGCCAATGGGGCCGTTGTGAGAAGGCGGCGCCGCGGGGGGAGGGGGAGGGGGTGGGGGCGCCATGAGATGAGCCCCGGGGGGCCGCTATGGAGGCCGGCGGTGCCAGCCGTGCCGGCGGTGCGTGCGGTGCGCTGCCCTTCGCAACGGCCGAGCAGCGATATGAAAATGAGGTGGAAATGGTCGGGGAAGCGGCGGGGGCAGGCGGGGGCAGGCGGGGGCGGCAGACGACGCGCTAGATGAAGCGGAGCGGCGAATTTGTCAGCCGTCGCGCCTCGTCGCCGACCGCGCGCCCTCCGGCAGACTCCTCGGACTCAGTCTGCAGTCGTGCGCGGTGCGTTTCGGCCGCGGCGCGGCGGGGAGTTGAACGCGGGGCGGCGCGAGGCGAGGGGCCGCTCCCCGCTCGCTCGACTCGTTGTCAAATAGCTTCTGGCCGAGCACGGGGAAAGTCCGCGGCAAATCGGCAAACTTTGATCCGCGCGGCACGGCCAGCACGCCAGCGGACTGATTCCGAGAGTCGTTTTCCGTCGAGCTGTCTCTCTCACACTCATGGGGCGTCCCGTGTCGGTGCGAGCGAGACGGAGCGACGAAAACGACTCTCGGAGTCAGTCCGCTGGAGAACGGCGAGGACGGGGCCCGCGCCGGGGAACGGCATTGGCGACGGCAGTCCAAACGACTTGGACGCCGGGCTGGTGTTCCATCAGTGTCCCTAACAACAACGACGTCGCCGAAATCGGAATCGGCCGGCCAACTTTCATCTTTCTTTATGTTTTTTTATGACGACGACGATGGCGATTGGAGGGGCCGGGGCGGCCGGGGCCGAGGACGCCGAGGGACGCTGTCGCGATCATCAGTCTGCGGAACCACAAAAACTAACGGCGAGGGGAAAGGGAGGGGGTAGTGGATTGAATGGCGATGCCATGGCGGTGCCGTGAGACGGCCCTGGACTGCCGCTGCCGCGGCAACATTGCAACATCGCCCTGGAATGCCTGGAATGGCTGGAGTCTGGACGCGCTCCAAACGGCGCGCACTTGCACCAGTGTCTCCTCGCCGCCGGGGTATCGCCATCGCGGCCTGTGCCCGTATCCTCCTAGCCCACAGCGGCGGCGATACTCCACGCTGCTGGCGGTGACGCGGCGGCAAGCCGGCAAAAATACGAGCCGAGCCGGAGACGGCGGCAAACTTAAATCCTGCTCGCTGCGGCAGAAGAGGAAAAATCCGGCAGATACGGGATTGCCCCTCTGCCCCGGCGGAGCATGGCGGAGCGGCGCAGAAATGAAGAAATACGAAAAATAAACATGGCCAGTGATACAATGCGGGGATTAGGAGACGCTTTTTATTTATCGGCGCCACCCCTCCCCCCCCTCCCCCCTCCCCCCCCCCCCCCCCCCTCCCCTACACCAGTGCCGTTCCCTGGCGCCAGGCCCCCACCACGGCGGTCTCCTCCAGGGGGCTCCGCACCGCAGTGTGTCCGCCCGAGCGTCTCCGTCGCGGCCGCCGCCTGCGTAGTCCGGGGTAGGCCGGCCCGCAGCACACGCCAGAGCGGCAGACGGGCCTGCCTGCCATTACCATTACCATTAAGGGCTAGACCACATATGATCGTATGCCATTTCGGGCCCGACACATGCCCGCCTGCACTGCAAAACGGGACATGGTCGTCCTTACTAGGGGAGAACTTTACCTCGGCGGGGAAGAACCTCAAGCGGCTACATGCCCCTGGCTCGCAGAGTGCCTTCCCCGCGGGTTAGTGACAGGCCTTTCCCGTGAGGGTTGTGCCGTCCCTACCCTGGGCCAGCCTCTTTTGAGCTTGACCGAGTCCGGAACCCGCCTGCTTCGTCCCTTGTTCTCGGGAACAGTTGCACTTTCGGTGTCTTCTTCTCTTCTTTCTTGACGCGTCTTGGCCATTGTTACTTTGCTTCACCCCTACCCTTTTCTTGATGCGACCTCTCGGCTGGAACAGGACTCTAACCCGAGGCATTACGCCCACCCCATACTCGTGTTCGGCCGCCACGGCGTCCGTCGGTGTGAGGCCTGGAGCCCTTCCCCGCGATGCTCCTCTGTGTCGCTCTGCATGCTGTTGTAGGCCTGCGACTACGAGAGAGAGGGCATGTGCCCCGTCTCCTCCGTGCAACACAACATGCAACGACTGGTTAGGTGCGAGGCTGGTGTTCTTCGGTCACAAGGGTTGTGGGGGCTGGAGGGGCGTTGCGCTGTATCCGCTCTCGGGGTGTGGGACAGCGCGTTGCCCTCGGGCCCCGGCTGGCCGGCCGGTCTGTCTGCTGAGCGCCAAACCGCGGCCCCTGCTGGCAGCCGGCCGCGCCATGCGGACGGGGTTTGTCGTGCTCCCGATGGGAGCGCCCGATAGGTAGGCAACCCCTTGGAGCCCACCGTTGTTGGTGCTGCCTACACGCCGGGCGCGTGGGTGGTTGGCGCCGCACCGCCGCTGGGACCGCGACCTCGGCAGGCCGTGCGTCCCCTGTTGACTGCAGCGGTGGCGGCGACGGCGGGGAGGGGGTGACCGCCCGGTCAGCCAACCGCAGAGAGGTGGACACCAAAACCAACCCACAACCAGCCCAAGAACCATAACCAAAATTAAAATCGGCACTCATCCATAGGTGTAGGTGTATGTCTCCTTCCTTATGACTCCACGGCGTGATGTTATCCTGGTGCGCCCCTCCCCTCCGGGTGCGCAGTAGTTTGTCTGGTGTCTAGGAATGTGGCAACACGGGACGTTGTCGCGCTGACCTGGCAATCTGCATTGCCTGCCACTGCACTGCATCTGGTCGGCGCCGTCGGTGCGAGTCGAGCTGTCCGAGCCTAGCCGAGCCCCAGGAGACGCGGTCGGTGTGCCGAGCCGGGTAATCCCCAATCCTCCGGCAGGTCCCTGCTCGGCATGGCTCGGCATGGCCCGGCAGGCCAGCCGGTCCACTCCGGACACCGCCTCGTCGCGCCGTCCCTCTCGCTCCCTTTGGGGGAACCCACGAGTGCGAGAGAGACGCAGCAACAAAGGCACACCCCGGACTCAGCCTGCAGGCGGTGCGCTGCACGTGCGCCGCCGTGCGCGCGCTCGCTCGCACAATGATGGCGACTTTTCCCGTCCGCTACAGGGCCCCGCCGAGAGATTTCCCGCGCAGTGAATGCTCCTCTGATCGCCTTGTTGAACACGGGTGAACGGCACATCGGGTCAGCATGGCAGGTAGGGGGGCGACGCAGGGGACACACAACCGCTGCACTGGTGGATCCATGGCCAGGCCGCTTGCACAACGGACGCAACGGACTGGGTGTTGCACTGAACACCGCACTGAACACCGCACTGAACACTGCACTGAACACTGGGCACTGCGCGGACACCGGTTGGGGCACTGGCTGCTGGTTTTCCTGCGACCAGCAGGTCGGTGGACACGGTCGCCGCTGTAGTGGCCTGGCTGGACGGACGCTGCCTTGTAAACAAGGCGCCAAAAACTAATTTGCACAGAACTCGGACACTGTTGCACCGATCACCGCGACACTTCGAGCCTCGACGCACGGCGTCCACACGGACCGACTGGTACCACGTTCGACCCGGAAAACCGACTTTGTACCACCGAAAATCAAGGACAAACACGGAGCGACGTGACCCGCGTTGAGTCGACTCGAGCCCAACATGGCGACCCGGCCTGCCTGCCAGGGACCCACGCACGACAACGAATCGGCCACTCCTCCGCCGAGGCTTGACGGGGTCCTAAAGCAGCCGTTCGCCGGCCGAGCAACGCGAACAACGCGAATAACTCGGCCGTTGACGGCCGGACGACCGTTCTCCGCGCGATTTGCTCGCGGCCGTGATGACGGCGTTGACGATGGCGGGGGCGGCGTACTCGACGCGGTGCACGGCGAGGCGGCCGAAGGGCCATCCCGGCCGAGTGCCGCCGAGAGCCGCCGAGCCACAAAAAGACCCATTTGCTTTTTACTGGTTTTACGCGCCGCCTTCTTGTTATACTCGGAGTGCTGCTTCTAGCACTCGTTCGCCGAGCCGGGCCGCCGTCGACGGGGGCGACGTCCAAACGCACCGCGGCCAATTTTTCATATCAATGTGGAATCTGCGGGTTTGGTGAGGTTGCTGCGTCCGCGGCTTGCAAGTCGGCGTGGGCGATCGCCAAACAAATCAGATGGGAATCAAGCAAGGCCAC